GAGCGGGGCGGTCGCTCTTGCTGGCTGCAGGGGGGCGGGAAGGAAATTCTTCACGTGGCAGAAGGTGGCTGCGGCAGAGGTCCCGCGGTGCTCTCCTGCGAGGCAGATCCTCGCCTTACCCTGGGCTGACAGACCCTTTCTGAGCAGCAGTTCTCACTCGTGTTAAAGTTTACTGTGCTTCATTTTTTATCTGTTTTCTTGGGGAGTGTGAGAAGTGTTCGATTAAGACATATCAGCGTCTGAGTGTAGGTGTGGAAAGGAGATTTTTCTTTGCTGGAATTCTGCAATTTAAATGGGAGCTTTCTGGTTTAGGTGTAAAGCCTCATTCTCAATTGCTAAAGCTGAACAGAGCACTGTTCTGTGGGTAGGTTTGAACTCTCCTCCCAGTTTTACAAGGCTGTTTAGCTTGGGCTGTGGTTATGTGTTGTGAATAGCTTGGACTAAAGAGAGGCTTGTGTTTGTATTGTCAAAGATGGGACTGGACTTTTAACACAGACTTGCCCTGCTTTGATTTTAGGAGTTTGTGTTAAAAAAGGATTGGTCCAGGGTATAGGTCATCTCTTTTTCCTTCATCTGTGAGGATGTATCTCAGCTGCCCTGGCAGGAGGTCCAGTCCACCAGGGAGGAGCTGTGGTAGCTGTGCTGCCCAAGCCTTGACATTCACTGATCCCTCAGTGCCCGTTTGCTCAACGGGAGCACTTTATTTAGCCTGTAGGAGTGGTTCTGGCAGGCTCAGACCTCCAAGCTCAGCCCTAGCAGTGTGCAGAACAGTTGTGCAGTCTTTCCCTTCTATGTATAGAAAGAGACCTGCCTTTTGAGGGCTGCCAATCCTCACACCTTGGTGTCTCTTGTCATAGACTACGTGGCAGGAGTGAGGAGTGTATAGCTTGGATCCTTCTGGAGCTGCCCTCAAATCTGGGATTTACAGTGGACTTGTTTCCTCTTGCCAGGCATCTGGGCTGTTAATTCCAGCTCAGATATACTTTGTAAAGCAAGCTGACTGCAAGAAGAGCTATCTGCTAGGTGAACAACCTATTTGGGAGGGCAAGACTCATACCACAGATAAATCTGTCTGGAAAGTGCTTTTTTTCACTGTGTCCTGCTTTCTTCTGTATCACCTGACCCTTCTGGAAGGCTTTAATCCATACAATATTTGTAGTCCTATCCCTGAGGTGACATAGTTGTGGTGATCTTTGTGAGATCCCCCCCCCAAGCTTTGTTTGAAGGGAGGTGCCAACAGCCCCAGGAAACGACAGGATGGTAACGGGTACTTAGGAGGGCACATTGTGTATGGCCTGGTGGTTCCAAACAGACCACTGATGTTGCTTGTTCCAAGCAGCTGGTTGTCCCACATCTTGCTGTGGTCTGAATGGTGCCCTGCTGTGTTAGCAGCACGGTGAGGTGATACTCGTGCACTCACAGGGAGGCAGAAGCAGATGGGAGCGTAACCGGGAAGAATTTATCCATGCTGTGAACTGAAAGTAGCTGGTGTGTGGGAAGGGCAAACAACAATAAATCTGTGTGGCTTTATGAAGTTCACAGTCCAGTTCTGACAGGCTGAGTGATGGCAGCCTGTTCTCTAGCACAGAAATGTCCTTTCTAGTCCTTTTTATTCTGCTGGGTTTTTCTTTCCCCTCAGTACCTGGTGGTTCTCTCTAGCGCTTCTGCTGCGGCGCGTTTGGGCAGCGTGAGGCGAGTGTGTGCTGGGCTGCTGGAGGGCAGTGCTGAACCTCTGCTCTTTGCTCTTCCAGAAACATGCAACATGGCAGCAGCCATGGAAACTGAACAGCCGGGCCTCGAGATCTTCGAAACTGCAGGCTGTGAGGAGCAGGTCCAGAGAGAGGAGCCGCCCAAACCAGAGCCGTTCTACGTGGAGAGACATTCCTGGAGCCAGCTTCGGAAGCTGCTCACAGACACACGGAAGTATCATGGCTACATGATGGCAAAAGCTCCCCACGACTTCACCTTTGTGAAGAAAAATGATCCCGAGGGACCTCATTCTGACAGGATCTACTACCTGGGTAAGCTTGCTGTGCCAGCCTCTGTCCTGACTGAACGGTCGCTGCCCAGGCTGCTGGGATTTCACTCCTCTTGAGAGCTGGATCTTTCCAGCAGGTAACTCAGAATCAGGGCAGACTGGCTGGTCAGATACCCTGGTCGTGATTGTGATGTCTTGTTACAACTTGTGGTGTAATCTTCTACAGAAGTGGTGTGATTGGAGGTGACCTGTTAGGCCTATTGGAATTGGAAAAAAAAAATATGAAGTGTCCTCTGGGGCACGTCCAAAAATCTGTTCACTCTGTTTTCTCTCACTCCAAGTACAATATTCTCTTTTCAAAAGCTCTGTCAGTTTGATCTCCTTTCTCTGAGTGAGTAGAACTTTTCTCTCCTTCAAAGTTTCCTTCTAAAACAGAAATTATAAATGTAATTTTGAGAGTCATTTGTGCCTTTCCTGGGATTCTGGAGGGAGCAAATAACAGTGTAGGACAGAGGTAGCTTAAAGAGTAAATGTTCTCCACATTTTTGGTCTTGATAACGCAGAACAATATAATTTGTTCTTGGCCTCAGAGTCTCACTTCTGCATTGTTTCATTAATTCACTATATAGATCTGCATTTGGAAGTTGCAGCCGTGCTTGAAGGGGTTTGGCACTGTGACACTGTGGACTACCTTCTGGGTGGCTTTTGGGAGCAGGACTTGTGGTAGAGGAACACTTTTGTGAACATAAGTCCATGAAAAAGTGGATTAAGAAGAGAAGTGATGGCCAGAGCTAAGGCCTAGGAGCCAGAACTGTGCTCCAGCCCCTTTGTTTACTCCTCAGGCTGGTTTCTTAGCTTCTTCGTGTGTGCTGTGCAGTGACGTGGTTGGAAAGCTGCCCTTCTGTCTCCTTTTTCCCCTTTTCAGAGGATGTGGGTCATGGTCCTTGACTGATGCTGAGCTCAAGCACGTTGAGGCTGGGTTAAGGCAGACCCTGGCTGGGATGAGCTCTGGTTTCCTCTGTGCCACTTCCTGAGCTCCAGGTCAGACTTGGCCTTCCCAGGACACATCAGGCTCCCTCTGGGCTGATCCCTACGTGCCTTGGCAGGAGCTTTCAGGAATCTGAGTAGCACTGAGGGAGAGGAGCAGGAAAGGGACATTTAAACCTTCCTAAAGCTGTGTTAGCTTTGAAACACAAGCTGCATCATGCCATAATCCAGCTGGGGGAATTAATACTGATTTTAAAAGCTTATAAAATAAAAGGGCCCCCAGCCTTCAAACGAACACAGATATGCTTCAGGCAGCGTGGGGTAACCCTGCCTGTAGTTCCTTGTTCTCTGCCTTCTCTGTGACTTACATTTTTGCAAGACAGGGAATTCCAGGGTGAGCCTGCTGTGCTGAGACTGATAGTACTTGTTCTGGGGAAGGGCCTGTGAAACTGTTCATTGATCTCCTTTGAGAGTGTTTGGGTTATTAACAGAAAGCTAATACACCTTTTTTTTTTTCTCCTCACTTTCACAATAGCAATGTCTGGGGAGAACAGGGAGAACACCCTCTTCTACTCTGAAATTCCCAAAACCATAAACAAAGCTGCTGTCCTGCTGCTGTCCTGGAAGCCTCTGCTCGATCTTTTTCCGGTGGGTTCCCGATTTCTTTCTTGCTTCTTGGCAGTGTGGCAAGTACACAGGCTTTGGGGTTGCACCTTCAAACCATGGTGAAAATTTGGAGTTTATTGCCTTAAACATTTTAAGCTTCTCCTTGTACTTGGCTAACTCTGCAGCCATCTCAAACTCAAACATGAGCCCAGCTTCACCTCAGCATTTGGAGCTACAGCCTTTGTGTGTCCTAAAAACTGTGTGTGCTGGATGATTCCTCTGTTGCTGACAGAGATTGCAAGTGCTAATTTGCATCACATTCTCTGCTGTGAGGTGCTGGGGATTGATGGAGGAGCTTGTAGTCTCCAATAATCACTCATCACAGAGAAGTGATGAGTCCCCCAAGGATCAGTCAGTGGCTCTGTGACTCATGCTGGAGCAGAGGATCCTTTTCCCACTCACTGGGATGCGTGTCCCCTTTTTGCCTCTGTGCATAGCAAGCCCTCATCAATCCCACCCCGTGCACTGTGGCAGGCTGGAGAAGGAGGAATAAATCCCCTGTGGAGTTAGGTGTGTTTTTTTCCCATGTTATTTCCTGAGGCTGTCAGCCAGACACAAAATTCATGCTGTGCTCTCCTCCCACCCGCCCAGTCACCGTGCAGCTTTGCAAAAGTGAGCAAAGACTTTCCAGCTCATTGTGGCATAACAGACCTTCAGTCTGGGCTTTCTTAAACCAACATATACTGGAAGTAACACTGGCCTTGCTCCAGGAGAAGTGTCTGTTGGGTTTATGGTTGTGCAGGATCCCATCCTGGCCTGCACCTCCAGGTGCAGGCGGCAGAGGCAGGATTCCGGAGGAGGAGGGTGTCTGCACAGCCATCTGCTCCTGGAAGCCTGGTGTGCCGAGACACTCTGCCAGCACAGTAAGAGGTGCAGAGCAGAGGTGTGATTTGCTCCTCTGCCCATGTTCAGGCCATCCTGGACTACGGGATGTACTCCCGGGAGGAGGAGCTGCTGCGGGAGAGGAAGCGGATCGGCACCGTGGGCATCGCCTCCTACGACTACCACCGGGACAGCGGCACCTTCCTCTTCCAGGCTGGCAGTGGCATTTACCACGTGAAGGATGGGGGCCCTCATGGATTCACTGTGAGTTCACTCATCTCTCCTGTGCTCTGCAGTACTCCTTTCCCCTGGCTCCATGCCTCTTTGGCTTGGAGTGAAGGCAGAGCACGGTCATCACTTATGGCTGCGCTAGCAGGGCAAGCAGCTGTGCTGTCCCTTGGAACACGAAGCCCTCCATAGGGATCCCTTTCTTTGGCTATAGAAATTCAGGTGGAGAATTAGAAGAAACAGTAGAAACCATGGCCACAAGGCAGGACAGTGCATTTGGTTGGGTTTCCATAAGCAGCAAGGTCAATAAGAAGCAGCACAAGGGCTGTGGTTCTCCATGCCCTTTGAGGTAGTCAGAAGTCCTGTCAGAGGCAGCTTTTGTTCCCCAGCTGTGGTTTAGAGGTCACTGTCGAGCAGTCAGTGCTGGATGCATGACAAGATTTGGCTGTGCTGTCCCTTGGAACATGAAGCCCTCCATAGGGATCCCTTTCTGTGGCTGTAGAAATTCAGGTGGAGAAATACAAGAAACAGTAGAAACCATGGCCACAAGGCAGGACAGTGCATTTGGTTGGGTTTCCATAAGCAGCAAGGTCAATAAGAAGCAGCACAAGGGCTGTGGTTCTCCATGCCCTTTGAGGTAGTCAGAAGTCCTGTCAGAGGCAGCTTTTGTTCCCCAGCTGTGGTTTAGAGGTCACTGTCGAGCAGTCAGTGCTGGATGCATGACAAGATTTGGCTGTGTAACTTGCAGAACAAGCAACCTTTACTCTGCTGGTGCCGGAGCTGGACTTCAAAGCTGAAATAATTTCTTCTTATTATAACAAACGTCTAATGTCTGTCTAACCCTGTTGTTGGGGGGAATTTACTGTACCCTGAGCTGCTTTTGGAGGACAGCATTGTATGTTCTGCCAGCCCCTTTTCAGGGTGCTGGTTTAAAGAGCGTGCCAGGCTTCTCTAGGCAAGCTGCTTTATGATTCGTGGCTAATCCTCAGCCCTGGTGAAAGAGGCCCTGGTGGGATCTGTGCAGCCATGGCAGAAGCACAACTTTGCCCTGTGCAGTATCTGCGTGGTGTTTTTCTGTGTTTAAAATGGATAGATTCCTCTGTTGTAAACCTGTGTATTTGAAGTTGGTGTCCTCACTGCTGTGGTCTTGGAGACCTTTTGATAATCTGGATTAGTTTCTGTGAAAGGTTTCTGTCTATGTATTATCATTGCTTACTGTGCCTGTTTTTTTTTTTTTCCTCTTGTAAACAGACAACCTTTAAGACCCATTCTGGTAGAGACCAGTTGCCCAAATATCCGGATGGATCCCAAGCTTTGTCCAGCTGATCCAAATTGGATTGCATTTATCCATAGCAATGACATCTGGATATCTAACATAGAAACCAGAGAAGAAAGGAGGCTAACGTTTGTGCACAGTGGTAATGCATCCTGAATTAAAATCCCTGCACCTCCTCTGCACTTGTTCCTGCTAGACTGAATTAAGCAATGGCATTAGGGCTTCTTCTGAAATCTGGGGGAATGGCCAATGTTTATTCCACCTTTTCTGTCACGTTCTGCATGTTTCCTCTCATGCAGATACTGTGGGACAGTTCTTCTCCCTGCAGGGTGGAATCTGGCAGAAGGAGTTGTTTATTGAACACATACAGAAGGGCTCTGCAACACGGAGTGTTCCTTTTTGCTGGAACAGCCTTTTCTGTGTGGAGGAGCTGTGGGTGGAATAGAGCTGGAGGAAAGTTTCTGTCAGTAAAATCAGGCTGCAGGCCCCTTTGGAAACTGACAGAGATGGTTTCTGAATAGCACTGTGGCTTCTGCTGACCCCTCCTTGTTTATTACCCTCTCCAACTCCATTTTAGACATGGATCCTTGAGGAAAGAAAACATGAAATTGTGGGTAAACCCCCATTTTTAATAATCCACTGTGATGTGTATTTAAATCATACTTTGTATTTAAGCAATAGCACCAGATTTTAGTTAAATGAAAATTTTTGACACTTTTTAATAATGCTTGATCTTATTTAAATTTTAAATATTAAAATATTATGTAAGTATATTAAAAATAAACTGTAGCAATGACTCCTTCTCAGATGATAATTATTTATGGAGTGCTGCTAAGTTACCTCCAGGGTAACAGGAAAAATATTGAAGCCCTATGGATATGTCATCATGTTGAGATGTTATGTAAGTCTGTTACTTTTGGTTTGTACAGTGAATGAAATACTGATGCTTTCATTTTCCTGAATATTTATATTTTCAGTTGTTCAGAAGGGCTTGCATTGGGACTTTTTTTTCTTTGTTTTTCTTAAAAGCTGTGGTTCCAATTCACTGAGTTCAGGTAGAGAGGCAATTTTCTTTGGCTAGTACATAGAAAATTGAGAGAGTAATTGGGCAGGAGTAAGAGGGGAGGATGGCTTTCCTTTCCTAAAAGAAACTGCCATGTCAGAGAGGATTAGATCCTCCCAAAATAAATCAACAGAGCAGGGTGGAAGCTGCAAACAGATCTGCTGAGAAGTCAGATTTGTTATTGTGTAGTTGTTCCTGGGAGATGAGCTTGGGCCACGTTTGGGATAATGCAGAACTAGTTTGATTCTGCAGTACATCACAAACTAATTCTTTTGTGTCTTTTTCTTAGAACTGGCCAACGTTGAGGAGGATCCAAAATGTGCTGGTGTGGCTACCTTTGTGCTGCAGGAGGAGTTTGACAGATACACTGGCTACTGGTGGAGCCCTAAGGCACAACCAAGTAAGTGTGGTAGGTCCAGTGTGTCTGACAGACACAAGTACTGGTCCCTCAGCTGTGCTGTCCAGTACAGAGTTATTTTTTCCTGTTACTTGTCTTTATGCAGGGAACTTTACATACCTGTAGCTCCTTTTGAAGTATCTGCCGTGGTGAGCATGTTACAGGGGGAAGAGACTTTCCCCCTCACAACAGTGGTGGGAGTTGTAAGAGTCTCAGAGTGTTTTGCTTGATGAAATAATGAATCACAGACTTGGTTGGATTTTTCTTTATCCTTTCAACCTGCTTGTGCTCCTGAGAGAGTGTTACTGCCAGCAAGAGCTGATAATGAGAGCAGTTCTGATCAGGAAATGTTAATTCATTTACAGCACTGAATGGGGGTAAAGTTCTTCGAATTCTTTATGAAGAAAATGATGAGTCAGAGGTGGAAATCATCCACGTCACATCACCCATGCTGGAGACAAGGAGAACAGATTCCTTCCGGTACCCCAAGACTGGTGAGACCCCAGTACCTTCCATCTCTGTTTCTGGGAGACATGTATTTTAGCCACATGCCTGACAGCAGGTTAGAGCAGTCACTGGTGGCCGTGCTGGTATCCCAGCCCTGTGGGCACTGGGAGCTCTGAGTCTGGACCTCTCAGGAGCTGGCAGAAACTCTGATTGTCCCTATTTTGGAGCTTCTGTCCCAGATCCTGGCAGATCTGAGGTGTTGAGGAATTGATTCTCCTTCCAGCCCTGTGTATCTGAGGAATAGCTGCAGATTTATGGCCTTTCATTTTTTTGGGAGGGTTTCTGTTTAGCTGCTGGCAGTGCCTTGGTAGTTCAAATTCTGAAGGACTCTTGCTCTTGGACACTGAACAACAAACTCAACGTGTTGACAGCATACCAGGAAAACACCTGTTGTCATTTTTAAACAGTGAATGATCTAGAGGCTTCAGCAGTCAAGGGGCAAGGGCAGGCCTGAGGCATGTTCAGTGGAATGAACTGGATCTTTCCTCACTCCTGAAATCTTTTTTTTTTTTTTTTTGAGAAATAACTTTTGTTTGGCTAACCTTCCCAAGCTGCAGAATTCCTTCAGATCTTGTAGATTCCCTGATCCACCAGGAAAAGTTTTCTGCTTGTGATCCTGACTTCTTCCTTGTTTCAAGGAGGAAGGAAGGCTCAGTGTTAGCCTGGGAAGTGAGAGATGACTCCTCACTTTTTTTTTCAGCACTTGTGTACACCTGTACTTGTAAGACTATTTTGTCATAGCTATGTTCAATGCTAAGTTTCAGCCATTGAGGAAAATGAACCAAAGCCCAGATCCCTTTACCCACTTTGCCACATGTGGCTTCCTGGGGATCACCTGTCAGCATCTTTATTCTTCAAAGTCTACTTTTGCTGTGGAGACCATGACACTTAGCACTGCAGGTGCTGTGCAGCAGTATGAGCTGCTGCTTTGTATGAAGAGTTAACTTCAGGTTTCCACTGTTCAACACAAATATGTAGTTTTGATATCTCAACCACATGAGTCGTGGCGATGGGGTTGTAAGTGTGACTTGCTGTAATTTTCAGTCATGCTTTTAAGTACTTTTTATGCACGACCTCAAGAACTAATGGCCAAACAGTAAATCAAAGCTTGCTTTGTTCTGCTGATCACCCCTGAGCATCTATTTCCAACTAGTACATGCATCCTGTGACTGTGGGAGGGAAACCTGCCTGGGGGAGCAGCATGGCTCTTGGTCAGATCTGTTTGCAGGGTGACATCCACGGAGTCTGCCTCGTGTTTGCAGTCTGGTTTTCCCTACCTGGTTCTCTGCTCTCTCACACGCAGGAGCAGGCTATTTGATCAAAGAGCATTCTGCTGTTTGCCTTTTCCAGTTCTGTATGAGTAACACCACAATAATCCACAGTTCAGGTCTGACCTCTTGGAAGCAAACAATTGGTGCCTGACTGCTGACATCTGTTTTTACAGGTACGGCAAATCCAAAGGTCACTTTCAAGATATCTGAAGTGACAATCACTGCAGAAGGCAGAGTAAGTTCTATGTTCTGCTTGTTTTCCTAGTAAATAGAATTGCTGTGGTTCCTTTTTTAGTAAAATTCATTTTCCAGTTCAGTACAGATAAACTCTCCTGGTTGTGATAGCTTAAAGGCTTCTCTGGAGGCAGCGTGCTTGGCTCGTTCCGATGCAGATACGTGTGTACAGCAGTATCTCTCAAGGCTGTGCCTTCCTTCCCTACCACTGGCTTATGAACTTGGCTGCAGAGCAGAATATTTTAGGTGTGGATGGTTAGACCTTCTTATGTGACAGATCTTGATTGGCTGCAGATATTGGGAAAATTGGATTGCAAAGACAATATATCACCATACAAAAGCATGAGCATATGGAAAGAGATGAACATGAACAGATGTAGAAATTTCCATAGCCTAGTCCAAGCTCTTCAGACAGTTGTGAAATCAGTCTTAGCAAACAGAAACAGTAACAGCCATACGTGATTGGGATCCTCTCTGCTCTTGAGCTACTTCATACCTGCTGGGATAGCGATGCTGATGCCAGCCAGCAAAGGCAGGGAGAGCAGTCATGGCCCTTTGGGTACTGCTGTGGCTTGTCCCCAGTCCCAGCAGGGACAGACTGCAGAGCTACGTGGGAATTAGAACCGTGTTAATGACCAGATGCCCTGCAGGATGTTTAACATCTACCCATGAAAAGCCCTTACAAAACATCTGGTACAAATCACCTCCCCTTCACCTGGGGAAGCTGGGCATTCAGGGGACCTGTCAGAGACAAGCGATGGATTTGTGAGCAGCATGCAGATTCCTCAAGTCCCAGCCTTGTCTGCACAGGGAGCAGTGTGCAGCTCTCCTGCTGCCTTGGTGTTTGGCTGCAGACAGGGTTGAATCCCCTGTGTTGCAAAGGCTGAACAATCTAAATCGCATGACCTGCGCAGAAGTCTTCTGTGTCCAGCCTCTCATCGTGCATGAAAACTGGTTGTGGGGGTCCATCTCAGTGTCACTGAATTGCTGCTTTGTCAACAGATTGCAGATGTTGTGGATAAAGAGCTAGTTCAGCCCTTCGAGATCCTCTTTGAAGGAGTAGAGTACATTGCTAGAGCTGGGTGGACGCCAGAAGGAAAATAGTGCGTATGTTAATCCTGTCTCTGCTTAGGGGGTTTGGGGCAGTGCAGCTGGAAGCAGAATGTAGTGGTCTCTCTCCTCTTCGTGCTTAAGCCTGCTTTCCTTTTTACATTGCTACAAACTCGTTGGTGCAAAGGGGACAGTTTTTCCCAAACCAAACCAGAGTTCTCCTTGTCTCTTTCTCCGGTGCCTGGCCCTACTGCTTTGGTATTGGGCACTCGCAGCCTTTGATGTATGTGTCCTCTCAGCATCCCTGTGAGAGAGGGTGCAGTGCTATTGTCCCCATTTTACAGATGGGGACCTGCAGCCCAGAGAGGCTAAGTGACTTGCCATGGTCACACAGGAAGTCTGTGGCTGAGGAGAGAAATGAGCCCAGGTCCCCCAGGCCCTAGGCTAGCGCCCTGGACCATCCTTGCTGACCAGACTTACTGATCAGAAAACCTGCTGTAAGTGCTGCTTACATTTGCATGTCATTTTTAACCCTGTAGATGATGTAGTACAGTGTTTCTAACTCACCAGGTGCTTCTCCAGAATTGCACTTCTCCAGTTCTTCAGTCTGAAGATGGCTTTCAACTTTTAAATTTTTTTTGTCCTCCAAACATGGAAAAAATGCAGGGACACTTTTGCTATGTTATCTTGCTTTTTGTAGGATTATTGTTAGAACTATGTGCAAAGCCATCAGAACTATGGCAGGGTCTGCTGCCAGTCTGTTTAGGGGCCAGTAATATCCTCTGCCAGGGATAGGTTTAAAGCACAAGTATTTTCACAAGTATCCTGATACCCCAATTGACATTTTTCTGCTTCATTATTCCCCCTGATTTTTCTCTTCTTTCTCCCCTAAGGCACAATTCAAACTTGGGAGAATAGAATTAATTAAACTTTTGAACCTGCAGTGCTTATGCAATATTGAAATGAAGTGAAATAGATTCTCGTGCTATGGAAGAGATTTGTTTATGTGGGTGAAATTTTACACGTGGCTTTGTGCTTAATCTGAAAGTGAACATTCCTGACTCCTTCAAAATTCCTAGTGCTAATGAGTGTCTGTTGAGACTTTCAGGCCTGCCTAGTACTTGCAGTTCCATGTTACTTCCTTCTAATATCTGTCTCTTCAACAGCATCTGGTCCATCTTACTGGATCGCTCCCAAACTCGGCTTCAGATAGTCTTGATCCCTCCTGCATTATTCATCCCTGCAGAAGATGATGCAATGGAAAGGCAGAAACTCATCGATGCTGTACCAGATTCCGTTACACCTTTTATTATTTATGAAGAAACAACAGACATCTGGATAAATGTAAGAATTTGAATTTCAGCCTTCTCTGACGGTGTCTTGTTCAAGACCGTGTTTGTAGCAATGGAGCAATGTTGGTGCTGCTGTGCTGCCTGGGACAATGTTCCCACTGTGCAAGTTCTGTGCATATTTTGTGCTTCTTGCTGTAAAAACAAGTATGTAGAGAACAGAGAGATTTGGGATGAGAAAGCAGAGCTGCTTTGCTTGAGGCTGCAGAGGAGAGCAGAGCCCAGCACTCTGACACTCCAGGGCAGCCCCCTGCAGTATTACCCAGTGACAGCTTCAGCTTCTTTGTGGCAGTTGTTCAGTGCCAGCAGATAAAGTTCTTCAGCCAGCAAAGGTGTGTCTAGGTGGTATTGGGTGAACAAGTCCTGAGAGTCTGCCAACAGTCACTAAAACCCTCCTGGATTACCTACAGTCTGGTGAAGTGGATGCATGTGTAACGTTCTCAGAGGTGAGCTGGACTGGACACCAGCGTGCTAGGCTAATGCTGTCAAAATGAGTGCTGCTCATCCTGCTGCAGATACAGATCCATGTCTTTAAGATGACATCCCGTTGGAGGTGTGCCAGGCTGCAGGAAGGTCTGGGAACATCAATCACTGACAGGTAGTTGGAGCTTTCAGCAGAGCATTTGCAGAGAGCTTTCTGGTGAATGGTCCCTGTGCAGTGGGTGCTTTCTGTGATACCATGTTTTCTCCTTAGTAATAATGTGCATGGTTTCAGGATGGTGCAGGGAGCTGTGCTTTCTCCATTTTTACTGGTTGGAGTGGTTTTTTGAATGACAGCTCATACCATGCAGATAAATTCTCCCAAGTCCCTCAGAAGATTGTCCTTTGAAGCGAGAGTTGGCATCTTCATGAGTGGGATGATGTCAGCTCATCTTTCAGTAACCCAGCAGCTGTGGGCTTCTAGACAGAGGAGAACACTCAGCTCTGGCTTCTCTGGATGGCTCTCATATGCTGCCTGCACAGCTGGACCAACCTCTGTGTCTAAGCCTGAAAAGCAGGTGTAGAAAAACTTATTTAATGAGTTTGTTGGCCTGAATTTAGAGCTAGACGGGCAAAAAACCTGAAGCTCAACAGCCCACATGGCCACCATCTGCAGGCACCTCCTGCCTCCCGAGCAGAATTGGGTCTCCCAGTAAGGGACAGTGCTGCATCCTGCTCGTGTGAACTGTGTTGAGCAGCAAGAGGAACGTTCTGTGTGTGACTTCAGTGCTGAAGTCCTGCTGACAACAGTGATGCTCTGGCTGTCTCCACAGATCCATGATATCTTCCATGTCTTCCCCCAAACCCGTGAGGATGAGGTAGAGTTCATTTTTGCCTCGGAGTGTAAAACAGGATTCCGGCACCTCTACAAGGTCACCTCTGTTCTGAAGGAGAGCAAGTACAGGCGGTCCTGTGGGGGCCTTCCTGCTCCAAGTGAGTGAAGCCATTCTTTTGCTTTAATTGGGCATTTGCTGCTGACTAGTGAGGAAATAAATGTCCTTGCAGGTGGCAGGACTTACTGTCTTATCGAGAGCTCCTGCTGTTGTCTAGGAAAACACTTCACTGTGCAGTCATTCCTCTTGAAGTTGTGCAGGGGTTATTCTGTGTTCAGCCTGCCTTTGTTTTAACCCTGATTCTTCCTCACAGACTAAAGGGAAAGTTTCAAAATCACATGGGAGACAAGCTCCCAGGGACAGTGTGACATGCTCTTAGTTGGCTTTTCCCTCTCAACGTTGGGGCTGTTTGTGCGTGACCCAGCCAGAGGTTAATTGTTACAGCACTGAGGGGCCCAGTGTGTCTAATAGATGCACATTGATTCAGGAGCTTGCAAGTAAAACCAACACAGTCCTTGTCAGCCTTTATCAGCTGGCTGGTGACAGGCTGACAAGGGGAACAGTTTGGACACACTGTAAGAAAATCCACAGAGGACCTCCCTGTCCAAGTCGGCCCACGTGTTAGTCCCCTTAAAATGAACTTTTGTTCTTGGCAGCAAAACCTACCATACAACAACTCTTCAGAGAATTCTCTCTGCTCTTAAAACCAGTCATGGTATTGCTCTGTAGGCAGAGGTGTTAGCAGAAGAAAATTACTGGAAGCTGTTGCAAATGGAAACACAGGAAGAGTCCTTTCAAGCAAAATAAATTCCAGGGCTGTGTGCTTCTGAGCTCCTGTCAGGGTTTGGTCCTGCTCAGATGCAGGATATAGCTGTGTCCAAAGCTCCCAGAGTGGTTTTTCCACAGCAAGTATTCTTTAATTTGCAGTGTCACGCTGTGATACTTAATTTACTTGGTGTGTGTTGAAGGCATTTACTGAGCTCTACATACACAAAAAATACACCTGATTTTACTAGAGGTCCTGGTTTCATGCAACTTGGGCTTAGTGGTTTGGGTGTTTGTGTTTTTTCCCAGAAAGCTTTATAACCTGGGCTTATCAGATTTCTCTGAATGCATCCAATTTCTTTTTCTCACTATATCTCCCTCATTCTAAGGGAAATTAAGCCATCTTATAAAAGCAGAGTTGTTCCCCACCCTGTTACAAACTTCTCAATATATTTGACACCTGAGATTCCCTTTGCACACCCTTTTTTTTTCAGTATAAAACCTCTGTTTCTGTGTAAGTGACAAAATACTTAAAACCTGCAAAAACCAACCACAAAACCCACAAGCTATCCAAACCTGAGGCTGAATCCTGTGACTCCTTTTAACCTTTATTTCAGAAAATGTTAAATAGTACCAGCCTTAGAATTTGTCTGGGGAGCTGGCAGAGGTGTGGGTCTTCTGCAACAGCAGGTTGCTCTTGGGGTTAGTCATGTAAAAATTTGTGAAGGAAGAAGTATTGTGACTATGTGTTGTGTAAAATATTCACATCTCTGTATGTTGGGTATTGCAGGTGACTTCAAGTGCCCCATCAAAGAGGAGATAGCAATTACCAGTGGGGAATGGGAGGTGCTTGGCAGGCATGGATCCAATGTAAGTCTCTGCTCTTGCTGCATGGGTTTCCTGCAAGTGACACACACTGCAGGGAGATGGTCTCTGGGGCCTCACAAATCACAGAGTCATTAAGGTTGGAAAAGACCTCTAAGAGTCATGAAGTCAAACTGTCAGCCCAACACTCCCATGACCACTAAACCATGTTTCCAAGTGCCACATCTACACGTTTTTTAAACTCCTCCAGGGATGGGGACTCCACCACCTCCCTGGGCAGCCTGGGCCAATGCTTCATCACTGTCAGGAAAGAAATTCTTCCTAAGATCCAGTCAAAACCTCCCCTGGTGCAACTTCAGCCCATTGCCTCTCATCCTATCACTGGTTACTTAGGAGAAGAGACCAACCCCCACCACACTGCAACCTCCTTTCAGGGAGTTCTAGAGAGCAGTAAGGTCTCTGCTCAGCCTCCTCTTCTCCAGACTAAACACCCTTAGGTCCCTCAGCTGCTCCTCATAAACCATGTTCCCCAGAGCCCTTCACCAGCTTTGTTATGTTTCTCTGGACCCACTCCAGCCCCTCAATATCCTTCTGATCTTGTGGTGCCCAAAACTGACCCCAGGGCTCAAGCTGTGGCCTCTCCAGTACTGAGTCCAGGGGCACAGTCGCTTCCCTGCTCCTGCTGGACACACTAGTTCTGATCCAAGCCAGGATGGTGTTTGCCCTCTGGCCAACAAAGCAGTACATGTTGCATCAGTGAGGCTCTCCTCCCAGAGAAGAGTGGACCCTGACACTCCCTGGTATTGAGTTGGAGCGTATGGATCATGTAGAAGATTTTTTGTGTGCTTTCATCCTTCTCTACCTGAGATATGCTATTCTGAACGTGTTCCAGAGGTGGTGGATTTGGCAGCATCGTAGAGCAATACAGGCAGCATCTGTTGGGTTTCTTTTCCTGCCTCTTCCTCTGTGAGTCCTTGTCAAAAAGTTTTCTGCACCAAGTTCAAAGCTTAAACAGAAGGGAGTCAAAATACTGCGAGGCAGCAGAGAGGAAATGATGGGGGTTGATTGGTCTCTTCTCCCAAGTAACAAACGATAGGACAGGAGGAAATGGCCTCAAGTTATACCAGGGAGGTTTAAGTTGGACATGAGAAACAATTTCTTTTCTGCAAGAGTTGTCCAGGGCTGTGCCAGGCTGCCCAGGGCAGTGGTGGAGTCCCCATCCCTGGAGGGGTTTCCAAGCCTTGGAGATGTGGTGTGAGGGACATGGGTCAGTGGGGACCTGGCAGTGCTGGGGGAATGATTTGACTTGATGATCTTAAAGGTCTTTTCCAGCCAAAACACTTCTATGATTCTATGAAATTCCATGTTTCATGAGCAGGAAGATGTCATGATGCTGTCCAACTGCTGTCTTGGAATCAAGAGATACCCCTTGGAGGGATCAGCATAAATCTATTAGCTCTGTCTCTGCTTAGCTAGGAGACAGTGTTTATGTTCTGTGTAAACTGGGAGCTTGCACAAGGAGGGAGGGAGTGCTCCCCAAACTGCTGCTCTTCTAGCTCTGAGTTTGATGAATTCTTTGATCATGTGAGTCAAACAGCAGTTCAAGGAGAATCGTCTCTCTGGTTTGGACTTTGGAAAGATCTTTAAATCCTTCTTAAATGGTAATTGGAAATGGGATTAGGAAATGAGCATGCAAGGTTGCCCTGTGTTTGAATCTGTTCTGCTGTCTGCTCAAACAGAAGGGACAGCTGAGGGCTATTTAACATGGCAGTGATTCACAGTCAGCTGCTCCCTTGATTTCCTTCTGAAGTGTTTTATATCCTATTTGATTTGGGAAACGATCTGAAGAGAGGAGAGGTGACAAAGACTGGAGGACAGAGTTATTTCTCATAGCAGACAATAAGGGAGAATGGGAAGAGTAAAAGACCTTCATGAGAGACCTGAACGATGAGGTGTGAAGCACAAATCATAACTGCCAGAGTTGTGGACAGTGAGAACAGTCACTGGGCTTATTCCTTGCAGGTGGTTGTGCTACAGCTTGGCTTTATGGAAGTGGGGTGGGCAGGGAGACTTGGAGGCGGTAGGGCTGGGTATAGTTCTGGCAAGAAACAATACTGAGGGACGTGTTGTTTGTTTTGGTTTTGACAGATCTATGTTGATGAAGCCAAAAAACTGGTGTACTTTCAAGGCACAAAAGACTCTCCTTTAGAGCATCACTTGTACGTTGCTAGCTATGAGAAGCCTGGAGAGGTGAAGCGGCTGACAGAACGGGGTTACTCTCACGCCTGCTGTGTCAGCCAGGTACCTGTCTGCCTGTGAGGCCCTGTGCCCCCAGCAGGGCTGGCTGGGGGTGCTGGGGCTTAGCTCCAGCCTTGTCCTTCAAAAATCAGCAGGCAAGGCTATATTGGAATGTAACAAAAGCAGATTTTGCCCTGTGTTGTGTGCTCCTGTGTGTGTCACTGTTTTTGTCCATAAACCCACCCTGGAGTTCAAGGTAATGTTCTTTTTCTCCCTAGGATTGTGACATGTTCATCAGCAAGTACAGTAATCAGAAGAACCCCCACTGTGTGTCACTTTACCGGCTGACAGGACCTGAAGATGATGTAGCTCACAGGACAAAGGAATTCTGGGCTACCATTTTAGATTCTGCAGGTAACAGCAGGGATGAGGAACTGGGAAGGGACAACCAGGGTCACAGAGTGAAAGATGTGTGGGAGAGCTCTGGTGGCATTGCAGTGAGATTGGTGATGGGGCCGGGCTGAAGCAGAGCTGCATTATTCATCCATTCCCTTTTAAAGCAGGCTCTGTTCCCTCCCGTGGCAGGTCCTCTTCCTGATTACATTCCCCCAGAAGTGTTCTCCTTTGAGAGCTCCACGGGGTTTACGCTCTATGGGATGATGTACAAACCTCACAACCTGCAGCCTGGGAAGAAGTATCCCACTGTGCTTTTCATCTATGGAGGGCCTCAGGTGAGTGCAGCACGTTGGTGAGCAGTGGGGCAGGCTGGCCTGGGTCACTGCTGCTCCCCTGCACAGACAGTTCCTGCTCTGTGCTGAGGATACTGTGCAGTGTTTTGCCTGTTTGATGAGTAGCTGCTTGGCCAAAGGGGCAGTGAGTGGTCATGATGCCAAGGTCATAGACTGAGGCACTGTCACTTGTCTGAACAGGTACGGAGCAGCAGAGCTGGAAGTGGGAAAAAGTGGAGTGCAAATAGAACAGAGAACATGGACTGTCCTCTCCATTTGGGATTCTGTTTTTTTTGTTTCCACTTCCCCTATTTGTATAGAAGCATAGAATAATTTTGGTTGGAAAAGACCTTTAAGATCATCAAGTCCAACCATTACCCCAGCACTGCCAGGTCACCAATAGCCTATGTCCCTCAGCACCACATCTCCACAGCTTGGAAACCCCTCCAGGGATGGGGACTCCACCACTGCCCTGGGCAGCCAGGACAGGCCTTGACAGGGAAGAAATAGTTCCTAATGTCCAACCTAAACTTGAGGCCATTTCCTTTTGTCTTATCACTTATTCCTTGAGAGAAGAGATTGACCCCCAAGAGACTGACTCCAGCCTCCTGTCAGGAGCTGTGCAGAGCCAGAAGGTCTCCCCTGAGCCTCCTTTGCTCCAGGCTCAGCACCCCCAGGTCCCCTAGATGTTCCTCACCAGGCTTGTGCTCTAGACCCTTCCCCAGCTTCACTGCCCCCCTCTGGACAAGGTCCAGTCAGCAGCTGCCCCCCCTGCTCCACATCTGTTGGAGCTCAGTTCAGCTCCTCATGTCTGCACCAGAAATGGCTTGTTACTGTGGGAAGAGTTTACTTCAGAGCAGACCGCAAGCAGGGAGAGAGCTTCCTGCAGCAGGAAAAAAACCCCTTCACATTATAAAACTTTACATGATAAAAACATTTAAAGGAAGGTAGATATAAATAAAATCTGAAATTGGATGAAGAGATGACCTCTGGACTCCATTACAGGTGTGGTTGTGTCTTTGCTCTTGTGTTGCAGGTACAGCTCGTGAACAATCGGTTTAAAGGAATCAAGTATTTCCGTTTGAACACTTTGGCCTCCTTGGGTTATGTTGTGGTTGTCATTGACAACAGGGGGTCCTGCCACCGAGGTCTGAAGTTTGAAGGAGCCTTTAAATACAAAATGGTAAGTGGAGCTCTGATCCTGGCTCTGTTTTCAGCCAGAGACAGATTTGAATCCCAGCATCACCTGAGCTGAAGCACCAGACTTGCCTGTGTGGTGCTGCTTAGATTTGGGGAGGGGAACTGCTGGATTTGAGGGAGCAAAGACACTCAGTGTACCAAAGATGTCAGGCTTGGAGGTTGAGAACCAACTCCAGCTTGGGAGGTGTAACAGAAGGTGGCTGAGAAGGGGTCTGTGACTCTCACCAGCAATGCTTTGGTGTTCACATGCAGCCTGGCAGTTCCACTCATGGCTTGGGTTACTGTCCAGGGCTGATGCTGTGCCAGGCTGCAGAGGGTGAGTGTGGTTGGCCCTTGGTGAGGCTCTGCTGTCTTTGCAGTGTAGCTGTCTGTTCTGGGAATGGCATTTTCTCCTGCAGAGCCAGAATTCAGCCCTATGCTTGTCACAGCAGAAAGCAAAACACTGAAAAAAAACTTAGTTGTCCCCATGCTAGGAGGTATGTGAAGAAAAGAAGAGTTAAGAGATGGATTAGCACCTCTTTATTGTCTTCTGGGGGGAAGGGGTCATCTTTCTGTAACAAGCCTCCTGGGGTGGAGTGCTGGTGTGTGGTTGAGTGCTGCACAAACAGAAGCAGCCCGCTTTGGAAATCCTGAGGATGTAACTTCTGTGTGGAACTAACAAAAACTTACCTTTTCCTCTCCCCTCCCAGGGGCAAATAGAAATCGATGACCAGGTGGAAGGGCTGCAGTATTTAGCATCACAGTATGACTTCATTGATTTGGATCGTGTTGGCATTCACGGCTGGTCTTATGGAGGCTACCTCTCTCTCATGGCTTTAATGCAGAGGTCAGATATCTTCAGGGTATGTTCATACATTGAGTACTTATTTTGGTGGCACAGACAGAACTTTTCCCTTAATCGTGTAACCTCCTGTGGGTGCTCACAGCACAAAGACTTTTGAGCTGGCTCTGGAGAGGAGAGCACAGAGTGCTCTGGCTGTTTGCTAAAAGGCTTTTCTATTTGAGTGACTTCAGAGAGAAGTTGTTTTTCTAGCAAGCATTTCTTCCATGGTATTTCTAATTAGGCTTCCAGGCTTGGGTTATTTTTGATACTTCACTGACAACAGATCTGAAAACTCTATTCACTCTTCAAGGCTGGTGCCTGCTAACAAGCTGCAGTATCTTCTAAAACCAGCAGTAAATGGGTGTTGCAAGAGCAGTTATAAGTTATGTGACCTTCAGTTGTCTCAGTTCTCTCCACTCGTGCTTCTGTGTGAAGCACGGGCATGAGATCCTCTTCCTGTGTCAGCCTGTTGTCACTGTTGGGCTCTGAGAGGTGTCTGGGACTGGTCTGTGCTGGTACATACTGGTACCGCTATGGGACTTGGCTTTTCAGAGGCAGTGACACCAGCACAGCCCCAGTAATTAACACTGAGGTGCCTCAGATCAGAAAATTGCATTTATAGAATCATAGATCATTAAGGTTTGGAAAGACCTCTCAGATCATCACATGCAGCCATCAACCCAACACTACCATGAGCACTAAACCATGCCCTGAAGTGCCACATCTACCCAGTTTTTGACGTGCTGCACTTTCCCACCTCTCCACCAAAATCTGCAGCTTTCCTGCCCATTAGAGCATGCTCCCCCCAGGGAGTGTGGTGTGACTGCCCCGTCACTGTGCTCACTGCCCCAGCTCCAAAGGAGCCAGCTGTAGTCCTGACCTGCTGTGAAGGTGTGGTGTTGTCTGTGAGGCTCCCTGCAGTAATGCAAGCAGGGGGCTTTTGGGCAGAACACACTTGCCATCCAAGAAGCCTGGCCTGTGAGAGGAGTGTGGGGCTATTTAGGTAGGCCAGTTTCACTGGAATATCTGAGAGTCTATTCTCATGAGCTGGGGTGAGGGGGAACAACTGTTCATGCCATTCAGCTGAGCACACAGGGACATTCCCTCTCTGGAACTGTGTAAGAGAGCTTTAAACTGTTGGATTGTTGAGCCTGCAATAACTTAACTGTGCTGATAGAGCTGAAGGTGCCCTATATAGTCTCAGCTGTTGCCTGCTTTGTGTCAGCTGAGCTCTTTGTGCTGTGAGCCAACTAAGGGAAGTGATCCTGCTGTAAAACGACACCTCCTTCTCTTCCTCCTCCCCTCCTTCCTGCCCTGAGAGAATAGTTTCTCTGCAGACTGAGCTGTTCCCAGCTCAAATTGCCCATGCTGCTCTGTAGCAGTGTGTTCTGAAGCAGCCACCAGGGCAACCTGGGAATGGAGAGGTACTGAAAAGAGGTTCTTGTGATAACAGGACTTTAGAACACAAATTTTACCCCCAGCAAATGGCCAGACTGCTGTTGAGCAAGTCTCAAGAAGTAGAGATGTAGTAAGAAGTGGGTATTGCTCTTGGGATGTTTTGTTCTTTGTAGCTGCTCTTGCTTTGTCTTAAGTCCAACCTGAATGTTCCTGGAAGGTTTATTAATTATTTGTTTCAAGTCCTTAAGGATTGTTATGTTTTTGCTTTTAAAAATACCTGCCTTGCAAAGGGGTTTTTGGTGTAGGGTTTGTTTTTTTTTTTCCTCATTAGTTGTTTTTTTTTTTTCACAAGCCCATCTGCAAGCTGGTGGTAGCTATGGAAAGTAGTTTGCTGAGTCCTAGGGAGCTGCTGATCCCAGTTTCTGTTAGACATTCAAATGAACAAAGGTTTTACAACCCAAAAGCAGAGCACTCTGCATTTTGGACAAACTCCACTTCCTTCAGCAGGTCTTGCAGGTGGTACGTTTAGCCTGCTTTGTCTGTGGGATCCTCCTAGCCTGCAGCAGCTGCCTGTTCTCAGCACGTGTAGGTCGTGGCTGGGCTGTGCTGGTAGGTGTGAGCTGCAGGAGGGCTTGTTTCTCCACTGCAGGCTGGCACTGTCAGCTTATCAGCCTGTTCTGGGCAGTTACAGCTGCACTGAGAGCTGAGGGAGGGGAAGATGGAGGAAGGGGGGGAGGGAGATGCCAGCTCAGGGAGGGCTGTTGCCCCCCAGTGCTGCTAGCCCTGTGGCACTTGCAGGTTGCCATAGCCGGGGCACCCGTCACCCTGTGGATCTTCTACGACACCGGCTACACGGAGCGCTACATGGGGCACCCCGACCACAACGAGCAGGGCTACTACCTGGGCTCAGTGGCCATGCAAGCTGAGAAGTTCCCTTCTGAGTAAGTTGGGTTCTGGTTCTTGCCTTCTACTTTTCCTACCAGGAAAGTTCAAACCCCATGGGAATGTTTTTATCTCCCCCTTCTTGGCAATTGAATCTTGGAATCACAAATGCTGGTATTAAATAATTTTTTAAAAGACTCAAACCCAACATTAATAGATTTGAATGAACATTTGCATAAATACAGGCTATTCCATGTAATCTCTCCTAACTGTAATTAAAGACTGTCTTTTATGTCTAAAGAAATTACAAATGTATCTTCAATTGTATGTTTAGCACTTTAGAGCCACGTTAAGCTAGACAAAAATGAGTTATCAGGATGTTTTCTGCATGCTCCAAGGCTGTATCAGCAAAGAGTTGCCTGCAGAGCAGGGTGAGGCCATGGGCTTTCTTGCTAAAGACCTGAAAATCCACACTGATTCTGAGCAAATGTTAAGCCATTGTGTTGTCCAAGCTAGGGAATACCTCAGAGACTAAAGAAGATGCACAGATGAAAGGTCTGACCTTGATGTGAAGATGCAGGAAGAACTTTTAGAGGAGGAAAGAATAGGTTTGGGAGACAATGTCCCTCCAGAGCAGTTTACAATAGTGAAATCTCTGTATTCAATTTTTTTTTTTTTTTCTGTTGAGTGTTTTTTTGAAGGAATGTTTGTGGATTGTGAAATGACTGGCAGGTGCTGGGATGCTGTCTAGAAATGTTTCTCTCTTGCTTTTCTCAGACCAAACCGTCTGTTGCTGCTACACGGGTTCTTGGATGAGAATGTTCACTTTGCACACACCAGTATTTTGCTCAGCTTTTTAGTGAGAGCTGGGAAACCCTATGACTTACAGGTAAGCCCAGACCCAGGATGTGAAGGTGATGTGTCTGTCTTTGGCTGAGGGGTCCAAAATCAGAACTTCTAACATCACTGTGCTGAATTCTGGGATAAAACTGTAGTATTTGAGCCTAACACTTTAAGATTTTATGAGTAAACAAATATTAGGCAAATAAGCAGTTAAGGCTGCTCCTGAGGAGACGTGCAGTTTGGAGGCAGTGCAGCAGTGTCTGTGCAGGTGTAGCCCAGGTATCCCCCCCCATGCTGCCAAACTGGGAACACACTGATTTATGTGATGGCTTTGGACAGGACCTGCCTCTGTTCAGCCAGGCTGATCATCTCCAGCACTTGCTGGATTAGAGGGTGCTGTGGGTTGTCTCTGGGTTCAGGCCAGGGGAGCTGGGGAGTATGAGCTCCAGGGCAGAGTTAATGCAGGGAGATTACATCAACATTTTGAATCAAATTTTTGGCTGGCTTAAATGTTGGAGCCCACATCTTGTGGGTTTGGGCCCCTCCCTCCAAGAAGGACATGGAGAGGATGGAGCATGTCCAGGGAAGGGCAATAGAGCTGGGGAAGGGTCTAGAGCACAAGTCTTGTGAGGAGCAGCTGAGAGAACTGGGGGTGCTGAGCCTGGAGAAAAGGAGGCTCAGGGGAGACCTTCTGGCTCTCAACAGCTCCTGACAGGAGGTTGGAGCCAGGTGGGGATTGATCTCTTCTCCCAAGGAACAAGTGATAGGACAAGAGGAAACGGCCTCAAGTTATGCGAGAGGAGGTTGAGATTCGCCATGAAGAAAAATTTCTTGCCCACAAGGGTTGCCCAGGGCTGTGCCAGGCTGCCCAGGGCAGTGGTGGAGTCCCCACCCCTGGAGGGGTTTCCAAGCCGTGGAGATGTGGTGTGAGGAACACGGGGCAGTGGGGACCTGGCAGTGCTGGGGGCCTGGTTGAATTTAATGATCTTAAAGGTCTCTTCCAACCAAAAGGATTCTGTGATTCTATACTCATGACTTTGTTTTCTATTTTAGATCTACCCTCAGGAGAGACACAGTATCAGGGTGCCTGAGTCAGGGGAGCACTATGAACTCCACCTGCTGTACTACCTGCAGGAGAACCTGGGCTCTCGTATGGCTGCCCTGAAGGCCATGTGACCAACCCCTGCAGGACCCTGCTCCACTGGCTGCTTCCCCAACGAGGAGATGTAGGAAACTAGAGAAAATAGGATGGAACGTTGCATTTTGGTGCCTGCCACATGTACACACACAGAGACACTTTTTTTAAAAGTCAATCTGGTGCCATACAGGAAATTAAAGTACAGTGACCTAATAACTTTAAAGCTTAAGTTGTAAATAAAATCAAATGTCTGTGGTATAATGCAGTACCATGGGTGTTCTCTTGGGGGAGGAGCTGAAATGGAAAATAATGTAATTCTACAGCACCAGATCCTCACTTTTTAAAAGCATTATGACATAACTGATGTATTTTTACAGTGTGTTCCTTGGTATCTTATTACATAATACTGGATGATTTACTCACTACACAGCAAGGGTTTACTTGAATGGTTACAACTTGTACTGTTTTAAATGCTATCATATAGCTTTTAGGCTTCATGAAAGGGATGTGTGTCACTCCTTAGAAGCTGATCACAAGTTAGACACATCACCTATCTAGAAGTTAACTGTTTTTTAAGAAGAAAGACTTTTAAGCTGTCCCCTAAAGAACTTAAATTTTGGATTCAGTCCAGTTGATGCCAGGTTCTTCTCAATGATTTCTTCTCTCCCCAGGATAAATCATATTCTATTTTTCTCCTTTCAGCAGCTGGAGATCCTATCCTGATTGTACTTGATTTCAGTGGGGAAGTGAAGTATTTTACAGTGCTATGGACATAACAGTCTTTTATTCTGAGATGCAAACTGACAAGTCAAAAGACCTTAAATTCTGTAAATTCTGAAACAAGCTTTAAAGTGCAGCCCATTTCTCACTAACATTTTTCCCTGATATTCATTCTGGAGCTGGTTTTGCAGTACCGTCTTCTTTCCTTCACATCAGCATGATAAAGGTATATGCATCCTATGGATAGGATTTTAAAATTCAGTACTCTAATTCAAAGGTCTACAGAGGCTTATTGTGAGGAGAGACCTTACAAACACTACATGTGAGGCAATAGGAACTGTTCATTGGATTTCCTGCTTTGAGGAACTATTTCCCAGGCTCATACTCAGTCCAGCCCATCGTCCCTGGGCCCTTTCTAGCACTGCTGTGTAGCATGATTTCAATGCTTTATTTGAGAACCCCTCTTCTGTACAGCTTAAGGTGACCCTGCTGAGCCCCAGGGATATGCAGTCCCAGTTGTAGTCTTGCTAGTGAGGTTTTAACTAAGCAGCAGGCTTGGCTAAAAAGCATCATAACTGTGTGAAGTCACTTCTAACTTGCAACAGGTCGTTTAGGATAGAAATCCATAGCAAAATGATTCTTTTTAATCCAGGAAATTCTCCCCTTGGGGCTTGCCTCTGAGACTCCTAGAAGTTTTAATGGTTTTCTTAGAAACCCAAGAACTTCCTTTCCTTTCTGTTTTGGTGCTAGAGAGAAGCAGAGCATGATTTTCTTTTCATCTTCTAAAAATCTGGAATCACTCTCAGTGTTTACGCTCTTGGTACTCCACATGTTGTAACCTTGTCTGTTCCTTGCTTTCATACCCTTCAGCTTGATCCCAAAACTCCAGGATTTAACATGAGCTGGCTGTATTGTGTCAAACTGCATTGTTTTTCAATCAGGCTGCTGGGCACAGGCACCAAAGCCCCAGGAGCTGGTGCAGTTACACGGCTGTAAAAGTGTGTGAGAACAGGGTCTGGTTTTGGGGTTACACCACAGACAGCACAAACAGGCGTGGGGTGAACACACACTTCCTCTGAGGTGGGGATGTTTGGTTTGGGTGGCTTTCTGGTTTTCAGCTCACAGTGAGTGTCAGTGGATCAGTTAAAATACCATCAGCAGGCCAGTAACAGGCTTATGGATTTATTTTGGGAAGGAGCCCAGCTCCTGTAATATCTTCTCTTGGTTGTTAATTGTCATGACTGAAATGAAAGCAGCATCCCTATGGAGTGTGCTATAGCCAGGATGGAGAGAGGGGAAACGTGTGCTGAGGCATTTGAACTAGAAAAACAAATACAAGCTGTTACTACAGACTTCCATTGTGTTCCTTATGTGTTTATGCTGTATTATATATACATATATCTATATCTGTTCATATATACATATATGTATAAAACTACACGTGGATAGTATTGCCTTTTCCAAGGTTGTTTATATTTTGTTCAATATTAAATTAACTTGCTTTTTTGGGGTGCTTTTGTTCTTTTTCTAGAGGTGATTACCCTTGATTGTAAATGTTTATGATTTTTATGATGAGATCAATCCTTTTGGTTTTTTTTTTTTTTTTTAAACAACAAAAATGGCCTTCATCAAACAGTGCATTTTTTGGAAACTGAACTAAATGTTATGCAAGTAAACCAGGCTAGATTTTGATTTAGCACAGGATGTGATTATAAGTGCTGACATAAAACTTTTTAATAATGCATCCTTCTGCTGTTTTAAATATATATGGAAAAGCTATTAAAAGTACAACATACTGTAAGTACTCTAATTTTGCAACATAAATTATGTATCTTTCTTTCCTATGATTTTTTTTCTTTTTACAGCAGTTAAGCACTTTAAGCTCCTGTGCTTTCTTAGCCTGTGGAAATGCTGAGAGGATTTATCAGAGTTTTGTAGCTCTTGCAAAAGATGGCTGCTGGTAGGTGAAGGTGTGAGAGGTGCCTTACGTGAGGAGTGATCCAGCCCAGTGCAGGCAGCAGCTAAATTCCCAGGGGCATGGAGAGAAGCACAAAGCCTGTTGCAGTTCAGGCTGCTGAGGTAGGGAGGTGTTAGTGCTAAGGACCATTGCAGCAGTATTTTGGGGCTGGTTGTAGTCCTGCACCTCGTGTGGCTGGGCCAGAGCTGGTGTGCAGAATGGTGGCTTTGCCCTGCTCTGCACCACTAGAGGTACTTACAGTCCAGGTGATGATACTGTTACTCAAGAAGAGATTTCCAGCCTGTCTGGTATTTGAGATTATACTTTGGCACTTCCTGCATGTTAAAAAAGTCTTGGTTAAGGTGAATTTTAAGCAGAACTAGTGAGATCCTGAGGAAGTATGGGCAAAGGGAGGTTGTCTATGGAGCAAAAACGTGTGAGGAGGAGCCATCCCTGTGGCTCCTAAACCTAATTTGGAAGTCCCTTTGGAGGATCTTCTGCCTTCAGCAGAGATCTGCTCTGAGCAGGAGCAGGATTGAGCCTTCATTGTCTGGTGGATACAAGTTGCACAGTTGTCTTTCAGATGAATGTTTTCATTTTGTGTATTAAAAAAAAAAAATAAATTAGATGAAATATGGGAATCTGAGCAATGAAATAGTGAAGTTATTGAGCGTGGATGCCAGCAGTTTCCTCTTGTTTGTGGTGGTTGGGACTGGTTGTGCTTGTTTCTGGTGAGGCACGTTCTCTCACCCCATTTTAACGTAGCTTGCAGTAATTCCTCTTGAGTGTGCAGTGCACAAAGCTGTCAGGTTTCGCCCTCTGTGGGCATTGCACTCCCCTGCCCCTCTTTGTTTTCAATTACCTCTTTTTATTCAGAACAAAGTAAAATTAGCATCTGCCCAGAACTGCTTCATTTTTATAAACTCAATGAAATAATGAGTCCAAATCACCAAGTAAAGCTTTGAATGTCAACTAACTTCATTATGTTAGAATGGAAAACGAATTCCCTACTCACTAGTGGCATTTGGGAACAGGCTATGGAAATACTTTCTGAGCAGGATGGTGTAGCAGTGCTTCATCCCTGGAGCACCATACGCCTGAGCCTGTGGCCAGTTATGGAGAAATCACAAACTTTGAGCCCAGAGGTCCCAACCTTTGTTCTGTACTAGCCAAGGTGGGTCGTGTTCTGCTACGTGTGTCTATCTGTGGGTAAGGCTGGTGTGACACTCACCTTTCAAGGAGGCAATAATAGAGTGTAAATAACTGAGATAATCAGCCAGATTAGGACGCTGCCTTGAATTGCCTGTTTACTTGAGTACCAGAACCCTGTGAAAACTTCTTGGTGCCCCTCTGGGTTCCCCAGCCTGCTCCTTTGGGAAGGGGAAGAGAGAGATCTTTGTGGGGTTCTTACGTGGATGTTCTGCACAGTAGAAGTTCAGGTGGTTAATTTTAGAACATGAAGTGCCTGCTGTTTGTGTTAACAAAATTGCATGTCTCACTCCAGTGGGTTTATTGGTCTCCTCCCCCCCCACCTTTCTGGCTACATGGCTTTTAATCATGTAAAGTGGAGACGTTAGTTTTGCTGCATTTTATTACAAACCCTTTGTTGCAATAAAGATGCTGCTAAATAAATTGAATTAAATGGTTCCCCCCTACCCTATTTTCAGCTGTCTCTCTTCTTGATTTAGTAGAGTTTGTGTGTAATTAAATCTTTTCCCTCACGCTGTGGAAAGCAGCAATGATGGAAAATGTGAGTGGTTTATGTACCTGTTGGGTGTTTAGCAAAAGCATCTGCGGTTTTTCCTGTCCCTTGTGGTTAGGTAGATTGATACGGACAGGAAGATGAGGCATTTGCTTGGTGTAACTACATTCCCCCTCCGAAATGTTTCCAAAATGTGAATGCTGTCAGCAGCCCTTGGCGGCCACCAGCCGGAGCTGTCGCACCGCCTACGGCACAGCAGCAGCTCTGCTGGCCAAGGTGGGCCGGGGGCTACAGGGGAGGAGGTGGCCCCGGCCCCAGGGCAGAAGGATAGAGGGACCTGTGTGTCGCAGACGGGCTCTGCCGAGAGAGGAGATGTCTCTTCATGCAGTCACCTCATGCTTGGCCTCGTGTGTGTCCTTGTGAGCGGTTCTGCGTGGTGCTGCCCCAAAAGGGCCTGGGGCTGTGCTCAGGGCAGTCATGATTCACTTTTTTACTCTCACTCCTGATTGTTCACCTATGGGGAAGCACCTCCTGTTTTGGTGACTTTCATAAATATGTTGTTAACCAGCTGTGTGTTGATATGTTGTGTTGCTTCTGCCCCTGGGGCATGGTGAAGTTTCCCCGGGAGCCTTCAGCAGCCCTCGTGCAACACAAGCTGGGACGTGTCACACCAGCAACTGGCCATGGGAGTTTCAGCTGTGGTCAGTGGTGGGACCTGCTGGTGCCTTTGAGCTGAGTGTGTAGCTGTGTCTTCATCACCAGGGAGCAGGGAGGAAGGTTTCTGCACATGCTGCTGTGCATGGAGGATTTCATTATGGCAAAGTATTTCTGTCCTCTTCCAGGTGCCCTGAGGCCTCAGGATGCCCTGCAGTTTGAGG